TTGCATTAATCTCTTATTTTTAAACTATAAATAATCTTTTTCTTGATTGCCCCAAAAAGTAAAGCTTATTGTACTAATTGTACAGTTGAGGAAACTTGATTAGTGGCATATATATATATATATATATATATATATATATATATATATATATTTTTTTTTTTTTTTTTTTTCATGAAGTCATCCTAGAAGGTTTGCAGCCATCATTTGATGAGGTTTCTTAATTCAAATCCCATCCTGATATGTATCCTAACCGATGGGAGCATTTTCTCAGGTGAGGTCCACAGTCCTCTCCTCCCAAATGACTCTAGCTTGTGCCAAGGGACATTTAACAAGCCATGGTAGCACAGATGATAATACAGAAGCAGAAAGGAATACACCTTAACGAGAAGGTGAAAGAGAAGTTTTTGATGCAGACTCTATGAGACATGGTACTTACTGGAAATGAGAAATATAAGAAAAATGAAGTCAAATATGCCATCAAAGATCATGTTAGAAGAAGTGGAGAAATGATAGCTCTTACAGAAATAGAGAGTCTGGAAAGGATATAGGCTGCCACCCCAAACCAGGAACAGGAAATAAGAATTCAGAAGAATGACCAGGTCTAGAGGGAGACCAATATGAACATATTCTATCTAAGGGGAATTGACAAGGGCTTTTTGGTCTATACCTGAAGCAGTGGGAATATCCTAGCTGTAAATAAAAAAAAAAAAAAAACAAAAAAAAAAAAAAAAAAAAACACCACAGCAGAAGAGGAAGTAGAAAAGTCAGATTGAGTGAAACTGCAGATGCCCAGGAGCTGAAAGACTCCTGGTGACTTCATGATGATGCTTGTCACCAGCAAAACTATAGTATCCATGATTAGGTAGGTCCTGGTACTCCCCAGCCTCTGGAGAATGGGAGAGGCTCCAACACACACAGTCATGATTTAATCATTCGGGGCTACATAATTAAGCCATCACACTGAAAACACTAAAACTCTAAATGACTGATTTGGGAGACTTTTCATTAAGTGAATAGGTCCATGTGCTGGGAAATCGTGCCCTTTAATATAGCTGGCCTTGCAGAAATAAGGATGCCCAGAAGAGGTACTTGTGTCTCTCGATCTATTAAATCCATGAAATAACAGACTCCAAAGAAATGGAAACTATCCAGAAATCTCATGCCTTCTCAGAGATTTCACCTGGTTCTAGCAATTTGTGAGGCCATCTTGCAGAATGAGAGACAGTGATGAGTCAGTGGTGGACAGGACTGCATTTGACTAAGACTGCTTACATGTACATATCCCTTTGCAAGCTGTTTATTTGATTTCTTCATCTACTTGTGGCTGTATAATATGGCTGCAACGTTGTAACACTAATTCCACAAAACAGTAAGTACCTTGGGACTCTTCTTAACCTCTCCATTTGGCTCTTTACTCTTATGGTGAGTTGTTGCCCCCAAGCCCTAGAAGCCACAAAGTATCAAACTGTAGAAGGAGTGGAAACCTATCTGGCCATAAGGTGTCAGCTGAGGACTTGTGACTAGTTTCTGAGGTGCTGACAGTCAGTCCTAAGGGGATGACCTTTTACTTTGGGGGTCTCTGCTAACTTTGGTTATGAACTGATTTGCATAAAAACAGTTCATCGGTGTTAACTGGTTATGTAGACTTCCATATCCCACAAGGATGAGGCTTATATCAGTTGTCTGGATTTGGTCACTGGTCATTGTAAAAATCCTCATAATGGTAGGAAACTGAGAATTGAATTACCCAGACTTAAACATAGCACAATTGTCAATAGTGGTGAAACCCACATAGATGTGAGTCTTTTGTAGATTCTAGCTTTGCTAGCTGAATAGAAGAGCCTCCATTAAACACCAGAAATAACCAAGGAATGAAGTGGGCTGGGAACACCAATGAAATGGATTTGGCCACATCAGTAGAACATCTAGTAAAGATTTAAGAGTCTCTGGCCTTTCTCTTTTTAATACTTAATCTAAATTTGAAGACTAATCTCGATCAGCCTTAGGTAAAACCAGAAACGACTTTGAGGGCTAGACATACTAGAGCCAGTAAAAAGTGAAAAACAGCATATGAACTCTGGAAGGCAGAGAAAGATGTGTTCTGACAAATCTACAGAGCAAGCAGTGATTGCTACAGACATCCTGTTCAGAAAACACATCACTGGTCTCTCTGGAAAAGCAGTTGTTGACCACAAAATACCATTTGACACTGAGGGAGTAGCTCATTAGAGAGGAAGGAAATGTAGTTGTATTTTCCCTTGGAGACAAATTATTATACTTCAGGAGCATATCTGCTCACTTCAAATTGTTCCTCCCTCTAAGAGCAACTCACCCTAAATAGGTAAGTATTTCCAACTAAGTATTTTACCCATCTGAAAAGTAGAATCTGTTTGTGAGAATCAAGCTTTGGTACATGTTCTGGGTTAGTTTTTGACAATTTGACACCAGCTAGGTCATCTGGAAAGATGGAACCTTAATTGAGAAAATGCCTTCATCAGATTGGCCTGAAGACAAGATTTAAGGACATTTTTATTGATTGATGTTAATGCCAGAAGACCCAGGCCACTGTGTGTGGTGTCACCTCTACAGACAGTCCTAGGCTGTATAAACAGCATCGTGAGATAAGTATGAGCACAAGATGGCAAGCAGCATTCCTCCATGATCTCTGCTTCCACTCATGCCTCCAGGTTCCTGCTCTGAATTCTTGCCTTGGCTTCACCCTTGATTATGAACTATAATCAAATAAACCCTGTAAATCAAATAAATTTTTTCCTACCCAACATATGTATAGGCATGGTCTTTTGTCATAGCAATAGAAAGAAAACTAAGACAGCATAGATATATGAATAGAATATGGGAGATAGTAAAGTTAATGAAAATGTAGGATCTGGGGACTGTAAAGATATTCCAGTTTGTGATGCGTTTGTCCTACAAGGAGGAAGACCTGTGGTCTATCCTTAGTGCCATGTTAAAAAAAAAAAACCAACAAGAAAACAAAAGTAGTCATACGGGCATGAACTTGTAACCCCACCCCTGGGGAGAGAGAGAGGTAAATAGATCTCTGGTGCTTGTTTGAGCCAACCTGGCCTTCTCAGTGAGCTCCAGGACAGTGAAATCCCATGTCTAAAACAAGGTGGTGCTGCCTACACACACAGACACACAGACACACAGACACACACACACACACACCACTATATATACACACTCACTAATACACACATACCAATATACATACACACATACCAATACACACACATGTATATATAGATACATAAATACACATATCTATATATCTATCTACATGTATATGTGTATATATACAGAAATCCATACAGACATACACATACACACACACACACACACACACACACACACACACACACACACACACGCCTTGGACTCAGTCTTCCAGGGTGTGATCCCTTAAATCAGGTACTTTCTCTGGGCACATGTGTCTTGTTTCCTCACATTGAGAATGGCCTCGCAAGTGTTGTGAATCCTTCAGTGAACAATTAGAGATCACCTGGTGCTAAGTATCAAGGAAAAACCTCCAGAGCTTACAAATGTTAAACTTCTGCTAGAATACCTATAGATTCAGAAGCCATTCCCTCCTTTACCTACTCACTGCTTTATTCTACAAGTGAAATATATATATTAAGTAGAGATCAGGAAATACTGGGGAAGCTTCATTCACATTTCTACCTCTGCACACAATCATGGTTGGAAAGCTTTATTTAGAGAATTTAATATCTATATATCCATCTATATCTCCCTCCAAATAGCCAAACAGATACAGGTGGGGTTTAAAATACTTAAATTATTCAGTAACTTTAAGTTCTAATCAACACATCACACCATTTCTTTCTGTAAATAGTTTCATGCAGAGTAATTCATGTTAGTTTTCAATTCTGTTACTAAGCATCTGAGAAAATCAACTTGAGGGAGGACAGAATTATTTTGGCTCATGTTTTCGGGGGAGTCAGTCCATCACGGTGGGCAGGGTAGGGTGGGGCAGCGAAGGGCACTCATGGTAGTGAGCTTTTTTTTTCTTTCCATTTTTCTTTGATTCCGTATGGGGTTCTAGGCAGCAGCCTGGATCTGCTCACGGTCAGAAAACATCTGTCCCCTCAGCTAATCCTCTCTGAGAGTGCCACCACAGACAGCCCAAAGCTGTGTTTTAACAGTTGCCTAGGTGGTTTTCAACCTAATCAAGGGACAGTCAAGATTAATTATTGCACAATTTAATGCAGCAACACTCAAAGACTTCTATGATTTCACCGTATAGTTGTGTCATGTTTGTGAAATAAAAGCTGGCATTTCCATTATAGCACTGTTGAAAATGTCTTCCATTAACTTGCTGATATGGAACAGTGAGCTTATCCCAACGGTGCAAAGCCTTCATCTAGACAACCTTAGTGTTTCAGGAGCCTGATGGCACACTTGAACCCTAGCCTCCATCAACTCAAGTCTTTCAAGGAAGTGAATTGCTAAAAAGCAAGAAAAAGTTCATGATAAAAAAAGTTCAATGTTTTCAAAGTGGGGAGCACAGTAAAACAAATTTTGATAGCCAATAAGCAAGCTATTTCACCAGGTGGCAAAATTTTTGAGCAAAATGACATTTATTTATTTGTAATCTTGTGTTTTCTAAGTAGAAAACAAAAATCTAAGTCATGCTTACACAGGTGATCTATATTTAATTTCTATTAATACAAACAATCTCAATTGTCAAGTCATTTATTATTTCATGTTTCTTTTCAAGTATATTTTATATAAACTTGAAGGAAGTATATTTATATTTATTGTTTTTATATATTTATCTTTATTTTTGCCACTACTACCTGAATTCAAGTTATAAGTTTTCTTCCCTTATTTTCAGGTCAATCACCATAGATTAGTAAAATTCCCTTTTTTTGAACAGCTGGGTTGAATATGATTCAGAAACATCGCATCCAGCCCTTCTCAGTTCATCACCGTGTCCCCATACCATTGTTTATACTTACCCCAAGATCCTCCCCTGCTCAGTCCATTGACTTCTGCCCTCTGCTCCTTAGCCACAGTGGGCCTCCTTCCACTCCTTGAATTTGTGAGTTGATGTGTTGCATCTCCTAGAATGATATTTTTTACACTTCACCTAGTTAGTTCCTACTCTTGGTCTAGATCTAATTTTATTCATCCTTTCTCAGAATAAACTTCTGTGCCTGTTTCACCAGACAGTGCTATGTATACTTAAAAAAAAAGTTTATTCGTGTGTGTGTGTGTTTATGTGCATGTGTATGCATTTGTATGTGTGAGTGCATGCGTGCTTGTGGGGTGTGTGTGTGTGTGTGTGTGTGATCTACCACATGAGTGCAGGTTCCCACACAGGCTAGAAGAGGACATCCACATTCCTGGATACAGAATGACAGGCAGTGGTCCCACCCACCGTGGGTACTGGGAACTGAATTCTTTGGAAGAGTTGTACGCTTCCCTTGTCTAAATACTGAGCCAACTCTCCAGCCCCCACATCTTATAGTTCTTAGATGCTTTCCTATATTACTTAAGTTTATTATTTTTAAAATGATTTAATGCCCATTTGCCAAACTTGAAGGTAAATCCTGTAAAAACCGAGTTATCTCCTTTTCTGGATAGTCTATTCTCAGCCTAATGACCTATGTCTATGTGCACATTTACTATAGAAAACTGCTGTAAAATTAATGATGCTCCTTTCACATGTAAACGTCAGGGGACTTTGGTCTGTTCCCCACCACTGAGTTCTCTGGCAACCCACCCACCCACCCAGATTACTTGCTTTCACATTCAAAAGCACCTGCTCACACTTAAATTGAGAACACACCCTTCTCATTCAGACAGTTGTGAAAAGAGTTGTTCACAAATGGCTATTAATTGCGCACCCTCACTTTCCTGCAGAGAGATAATTGAGGATGAAGAAAAACATTATAAATGAACCCAATTAAAGATGATGTGACTGGCCTTTTCAGGGGCATGGTCAGTCATTGCATGGGAAGCATGGAGGGCAGCACAGGCAGTGAGTGATGTAAACTGATTCTTCACTTAACTTAAGCGGCACATGAGTCTGCTCTGACTGGAGGTGGGTAATTTCGAAACAGAGCAGCTCTCAGATAGCATGCCAAAGGAAACGGGCAGAATATGAAAAAACTGTGACACAGACGGAATCCAAGCCCATACATAACCTTTCAGGTGCTAGCTGTAATTTTATCCCTCAATTTTGAGTTAAAATGATAACACATTTGTCCAGGCTTTTGCCATAAATACCCCCTCCCTGCTATTTTAGATTTGGTAACCTCAAATCACCCAGGAGAGTCAGGTTTCAATTCTTTAAAGAATAACTTTATGACTTTGGCACAGAGTAGGCTTCTCCATTAGCTTCTCTGTGCTATGAAGTCTGCCCAGACTGGCAGCCGCTTTTCCATCCTCAATGGGTTTCTTATAAGACTAACCCTGGATTTACTACCCTAGTGATTGAGAATCTGTCAGGCACAGCAAAACCATGAATGAGAAGTTTTCACGGGCCAGGTCTGGAAGTGCAGGAAGTACTTCTGTTCTCACACCTTTGCCAAAAATATATCTTCAAGTCAGGGATGTCTGCTATATATATATTCAAGCTACTTACAAAACCCCAAATCTATTTCTGTAGTGGGATGGAGCACATCTTGGTGAATAGGTTTAGCAACATCTGTTGTGTGATGAGGCAAACAGGTTTTGGAATCCCTGGTTTTTGAAGAAATGAAAGTGTAATTATATAACGAATGTTGGGGAAACCCAAAAACCCAAGAATAAGAAAACTCTATGTACGGAAAGTAATATGTAGACCCTGAACAATAAGAAGTTAGTTGGACTTCTTAATATGCAAATGGGATAAACTTGAAATAATTATATAGGTTTAGAGAGAAGAGAGTAAGAAACAGATCTTGTTTTAGTGTCATTATGTTGCTGTAACAAATACCACCACCTAAACAGCTTAAAGGAGGGAAGGATTTATTTAAACAGAGTTTTCCAGGCAATAGTCCACTACTAGGGATACTCAGGGCAAGGAACTCAAGCAGGAACTTGAAGTCAGGTCTGCCCTCTATTCCATGAAAAAATGCTTCTGACCTGGGAAACCATAGCCAAGGAAGAACAGCCGAAACCGTAGAGAATGCTGCTGGGTGGCTTGAGTAGGCTCATGGCTAGCTGCTTTCCTTAAACAGCCCAGTACACCTTCCCAGGGAATGGTGCTGTCCACAGTTAGATGGGCCCTCGTACATTCATTAACAATCAAGATGATTCCCACAGTCATACCCACAGGTCAGTCTGTTCCAGGAAATCCCTCACCTGCCTCCTTCTCAGGTAGCTCCAGGTCGTTTCAAGCTGACAGTTAAAGCAAAAAACGCTGATCCTGAGATCTATGTGAATTATCTACCTGAAACAGAGCATCAAGCCCATTCTGGGCACTAGAATGATGCAAAACAAAATATCAACTTAAAATTTTTCTTTAGGTTTACTTATTTTTATTTTATGTGTGTAGATGTTTTGCCTGCCTATATATACCTGTGCAAGTACATGTGAGCCTGGTGCCCAGGGAGACAAGAATAGGGAGTTAGAGCCCCTGCAGGATGAAGTTATAGTTGGTTGTGAGCCACCATGTGGGTGTGGAATCCTCCAAAAGAGCAACAACTGCTCTTAACTGTTGTGCTATTTGTCCAGCTCCAGATTTTCACCTTTTCAAGAAATTTAAAATTTTAAATCATTTATTTTAAAGCTAATTTTTAAACCTGAAGAATCATGCCCTGAAAATTTGTAAGAAACTGTCACAAAAGCATACAAGTAAACAAACAGAGTGTAACTGAATGGCGAAGCAGTCTTGGGCATAAAGGAATCTATGATTTCCTGGCAGGGTCTCTGCAGTAAGTAATAATGGCAGACAACTTAACATAATGATGACGCTGTGAGGCTGTTGGTTGTATCTGGATTGTGAATGACCACAAACCCCATGTGTTCATGGTCCCATCCCTCAGCCTGTGGTGCTACGGAGAGCATTAGTGAGATGTGAACTGGGCATGGTGGGACATACCTCTAATTCTAATACAGCAGATCTCTGTGGGGTTGAGGACACTCTGGACTACACAGCAAGACACTATCCAGAAAACAAAACAATAAGTGAGACCTACTTAAGCTCCTAGCACGGGGCTGCCGTGCACGGGGACAAAGCAGGAAGCCAACCAAATCTGTGCAGTGCCTTATCCATTATGGAAAAAAGGAAGTCAGTCCTTCAAATCATTCACACACAAAAACTCGGTCAGGTTTAAATAATAATCACAGTCGGTCCAATGTTAAAGGAAACCATTTTTATGGCTTTGGGGATTTGGAACGGCTTCTTGAACAACCTAAGATACAGAGATAGATTTCATAAGGTTTCTTGAAACATGAAAGATTTTAGTTTCCATGTTAAGATCATCAAAGAAGTGAATGAAATACTTCAATATTTCAAAAGACACGAGTCTCAGTTGTGTGCAGGAAATGGAAAAAATGTACTAGTGCAACTCAGAGGCTGTTCCCACAAACTGGGTAAGCAGAGAAATGGAGAGAAGTAGTTATATAATCTAGAAATCTTTAGGAATTGGCATGTGGTAGAGACATGAGATGAGTATGAAATTAAGCAGGGTCCAGATCTGCCAATCCACTAAAAAATTTTTTACATTATGTTTTTTAAAGGAACCAACAATGGCACCTACGCTGAGATGAGGCACGTTAGGTTTCCTTAGTAAGAAAAATTCCCAGGAGAAAATTGACCTCATGTCTGAATTTAAGTGGAAATGTGTGAAATACACAGACTTGTGATGAATTGTGGAAATGTGGGAGACAGTGACCCTCAAATTTCACTGAGCTGTAGAGGAAGTACAGGTGTAAGTTTATCTGCCTCTGGGTGTGTTTTACCAGAGCTGGAATATCCAAGAGGAAATTTCCAGGAGGGAGGGTACACAGGAGTTAGAGCTCAGGGAGATATCGGAGAGGAGGTATCAACTTCAGAGCACCAGCGTGTGGCTATCTGTCAACCTGCTGCAGCTACCCTCTCCACTCCAGCAAAGAGTTCAAACCAGTCCTGGGCTCACACCCCTGTCCTGTGTTCACACCCAGATTCAACAGGCTTTGCTTATATCCTGGAGCTACTACAGCTGATCAGCCTCCAGGAAATAAGGGCCTGCCTCTGACCTTCTTTACTTCTCCAGAACTGGTGACTAGGGACTGACGGACAGGATCTGTAGTCCCTTGCAAACCAACAAACACAAAAAACCTGTTCTACCCAGAAGTGATTAACAGCCTGGTGATCTGGGTTATCTGTTGGGCCAGGGCATATCAAGCTCTACAACCAGGACTAGAGGTGGCTAATAGCCCAAATGACCTCTACATTGAGACAGAGACCAGGCCAGAGAGTTCCCTAGGCCTATAAGCTAGCAGTCTATCTCTAGAACCCAAGTTCTTGGGAGAAATGACATGTACTCTTACCCAAGTTTCCATATAACTACATTTCCACATACACTGGGGATTGTATTACAACAGGAAACTTTTTTCCCCAAAATTATACTGTTTTTAAATTTTTTTGGGAAGACACTGCCTGAGATCAGACTTTCCAAAGTCTTGATCCAGGTAGAGGAAGTCAATCTGAATGGAATTTGCATTCTCACCTCTTTGAGGTTAGATTCCCTGCCATAATCACTTTCAGTGTCCCTCTCAAAAAAGTTGAAATGTAAGCATAAAATTAAGAGGAAGAATTCAGTTCTAATGGCATAGAGATGATTTCAGTGAAATCATAATAGAAAATGTCTCTAAATTAGGTGACGAAATATCAATCAAGGTACACCAGGAAAAAAAAGAGGACCTCCCTTGTCACATTATAATTAAATTGCTAAATGTATGTAACAAAGAAAGCAGGAGGGAGAGAAGCACCATTGCTCAGCTGGCTTTCTTATGCATAAAGGCAGGTCCATCAGAATAGAAGCAGATTTCTCAAAAGAAAGTAGAAGCCAAGAGAACTTGGAGTGATGACTTTCAAGCCTGAGAGACAACAACTACCAACAGAGACTATTGTTTCCAGAAAAGGTATCTGTCATAACTGAAGAGGAAAGGCTTCTATGATAATGACAGGCTTAAGGAATTCATGGCCACTCAGCTAGCTACACAGAGGATACTTGAGAGAACAGGCTTATATGTCCATATCACAGTCCATCATTGAGGGAAGTTAGGGCAGGAGTTCAAGGGGAAACCTGAGGGTAGGGGCTGCAGCAGAGACCATGGAGGAACACTGCTTACATGGATTGCTCAGCTGGCCGGATTGAATTCTCAACATCAATCATTCATCAAGAAAATGGTCCACAGACATACCCATAGGCTACTCTGATGGCCGTACTTCCTCACTTGGGGTTCCCTCTTTGTGTCAAGGTGGCAAGAACCAACCAGTACAGCATCCAAACACTGATTCGATTTGTGGCCCTCTTCACAATATAGAACCCAGAACTGGCCCCATTACTGGGGCCAAGAACCTAAGACAGTAATAGGCCTGGGGGGAGGATCAACTACTATGTCTCTGAAAAAGGAGACAGTATTACGCTGTGACCTGCGATAACTGTAAGTTAGTGTATCTCTCAAACCTCACCAGAGAAATTTCTTTCTTTTTTTTTTTTCTTCTCATTTTTACAGTAGATAACTAACACTGAGACTCAAAATTGGTCAAGGTGCAGAGAATAAGTGAGCATGGAGTATTCAGCCATCAGTGGGTGAGCCTAAGTCCCCCAAACCAGCCCTGTTCCTCCCAAGGGCCAAGTCTCATTGAAGAAGAGGGGCCAGAAAGACTGTAGAGTGAGCAGCAGTAGATGACTTAGAGGAAACAGTGCTGTTTTAAAAATTATTTTTATTTTGGATGCAACAGGGTAGATGCATATATGAACTCATCATTGTTGTGACAGTATGCACCAGACCTGTACAATTCAAGCTTGACAGAATGCTAGCATGGAGGGGAGAGGTGGTCATGAAGTCCTACCCCTAACTGGGAAGCTACCGTTAGTTGATAGCTTTGGTGAGAGGGAGAGCTAATTTTCTCTAAGAATATGGTCCCTGGAGACCTACCATGCTCCAGTGGATAGCCACATAGGCAGGAGTAGATGGGCAACACTAACTGAACTTGATAGTTTTTTTTTTTTTTTTTTTTTAATGAGGACTTAATATGATAGGATATGGAATGGCAGAGAGATTTGGGAGGAGCTGGAAAGGATGAATGTGATCAAAATACAATGGGTGAAATTCTCAAAGAATAAGGATATTTAAGAAAATGAAATTCTCAGGAAAATGGATGGAACTCCAAATTAGGACAATAATATTGCAGTAATCCAGGCTCAGAAAGACAAACCCAGCATGTTTTCTCACCCCTGCCTGCTGGTTAGTACTTTAAACCTTTAATGATTGCAGAGAGGCTGTAATGGTGATGGTCCAGGAGCTAATTACAAACCATCTTGGCCCTCCATAGCCATTTATTATTGTTCTCTGTATGTGACCTAATATTTTTGTGACTATTGTAGTAGTCATTGGGAATGTACAAGCTGACCCTTAGTTTCTGTCAACCAAAAGACTAAGAATAGCATCGGACAGCATCTGAGGCCTACAGTTGAGATTTTCCAGCTTTTCGGTTATCTTTCTGCCCAATGACTCAACCAATGTGTTTGGAAAGTGTCTTGACTTATGATTTACTTGTTCTGCTAACATAAAATTTCGCTAAACTGTTACCTACATCGGAATTTGGAAATTGGGATAACCAGTGGTCCTGGGCAATGATCAATCCTATTTGGCTCCAGAATAAAGTCTTACCCCCCTTTGAAGTAAGAGCTGTGTTTCTCAGAATGTTTGTATGTGAATGCTAAGTTTTAGTGTAGTGAATGCATTAGACTCCAGTCCATTCTTAGGGAGACTACTAAAGCTTTGCAATTTTTAATTCCAAGTGGCAAAATGAGAAGAAAAGGAGGAAAGCGCTCAGTATTTACACTTAGTGGTCTCCCCTATGCTCCTTGGTTATAATCTCTGTTTGTCCTCCCTCGGATCGGAGTTGACAGATTAGGTTACAACAGTCCCCGTCACCCTGGTCCAGTTTGAATAAAATCTGTCTTAGCATTTTAAACAAGTCGTGAATAATTTTTTAACACTTCCCTTTATTACTTTTCCAACCCCCCTATGTTCACTGGAATAGTAAGGAATATTTGACTACATGTAAATACATTTGACTCACGCACGAGTCATTCTGTTTACAAGGATGCCTTTTAAAAACTTAAATTTTATTTTGCTGCTATTCCAAAAGCGATGAAGTAGAATTAAAAGAAAATATAATCAATCTGACTGCTGTCTTAAGGACGCCCAAACTTTAGAAATAACGGTGAATATTTTTAAATAAAAGGAATATTTTAATGAGACCACAATATAGATCAAACAGAGCAATTATAGAGTAAACATTATTTGTATAATAATGTATAAGTTTATTGTCTACTGATGCTAATTTGATAGTGATATATCAAATACAGTTACATTTTCTTTTGTACTGAAAGCATATTCTAACCATTTACAGTTATCGTTATTTTAAATAGCTGAGGTAAATTCTGTAATTACGTAGACTTCCCTGCATCAGTATTTAATGAGCAATTTTCTTTCTAATTGTAAAACTTTTATTATGCTCATTTTTTAACTTTAATTTTTTTCTTTTCACTTTTGGATTCAGGAAACAATATTAAATTATTCCATTATAACCTAGAGCCATATATTACAAATGTTTAGCAAAGATGAAATTATTTTTTTCCTTTCAGTTTTTAGCTTGATTATTAATACTTAAACACTATTTTTTATCTTTTAATTTTTTTTCATGTCATCTTTTTTCTATGTCACTACATTTCTAACAAATGAACCTTGTCTTTTATGGCCAGGATTTAGATGGAATACATTTCGACTTTGCTATTTAAAATGTTCAAATTTAGCCAGGCAAGGTGGTGCATGCCTTTAATCCCAGCATTCTAAGAGGCAGAGGCAGGCAGTTCTCTTGTGAGTTTGAGGCCAGCCTGGTCTACAAAGTGAGTTCAGGACAGCCAAGGCTACACAGAGAAACCCTGACTCAAAAAAAAAAAAAAAAAAAAAAAAAAGTTCAAATTTAGGCAGGCAGGGTAGTACAGGCCTTTAATCACAAGGCCAGGAAGAAAGAGGCAGGTGGATCTCTGAATTTGAGGCCCAGCCTGGTCTACATAGTGAGTTCAAGGACATCTCATGAGACACACTGAGACCTTATCACAAGTAAAAATGTTTCAATTTAAGGAGACTGAAAGCAAGATTTGTTTTAGAAAGAAAGAAATCAAAGCTATATAAAAACCACAGAGAATTTCCAAGAAGCTTCCAAAGGTGTCGCACGAAGACAACTGAACAGCAGGGGTCTCCGGGCAGGAAACACACAAGAAAGAAAATGGGTCATGTGCAGGTCCCATGTGCTTGGCAATGTCAGTGTCATGCCAGGACTCTAATGCATGGGAAGAACAGAAAAGGATGCAAGTGAAATTCTGGGAAACATTACAATAAAACAGTCCAGTAGAGGACACTTTCATAGGCAAAACAATGCAGACATTGAATGACGACTAAATAAGAAAATATGTTCCCGTGGTGGTGAGTGGGAGAGGACTATTAGAAATGTGAGAAATATTTGCAAAACGTACAACAAAAAAGCCTTTAAAAATTTTATGACCATCTTGAGTACTTCAGCTCAAAAGGCCGCTCACAGGCGGAATGGCATTCTTTAAAAAAAAAAAAAAAAAGGAAATAAAAGAACTAAGAACACGAACGACAGTGGGCAAAGTAATGAAGGAACAGCCACTCAGGCAACAGAGCCTCTAACGTGTCCCTAACTGAAAGTTATCTCTCGTTATTTCCGCTGTGAAATTTTAAGTGCATGATGTAATTCTAAGCAGGAGCGAAGCAGCAACAGGAATGCAGGATTTTATGGTTCCTGCTGTAGAACAAAAAGCAGCGATCTGAAGGGAAAAAAAGTTCACGATGCTTGTGTTTTCTGCCGCCTCTGAGCCTGCCACAGCCTCATGGCAGTTTATTAAAATACCCAGAACGGGAGGGAAGGCCCAGAAATGATCTTAGCGACTACTGACAACTTACCTATTTGACATGGTAATTTTTTATTTTTTTTTCCTCCGCGCTAATGTTTAAGCCACGCTGGCGAGACACGCGCTGCTCTTGAACTCTTAGGTGGTTTTCCGGCTGGCCCGGACACAGGGCAGTCCCGTCCCCCTACCTGGCCTGCGAGCTGGCAGAGCGCTCTCGACCCCCTCCGCCTCCTCCCTGCCCGTCACGTGACGCCGATGACGTCAGCCCCCGCTGGGTCGCGTGACCCACGGCCACCCTCCCCAGCGCCCCACCCCCTCGCCACCCGCGCGGGACCTCTCGCGAGAAACCCCCCTCTTACTCTCAGAACTTGCCCGCGCTGCGAGGGGAGTTGCTCGGGAGAAGGGAGGGAGGTGTGGCCGAGTGGCGGACTCTCCGCTTTGGCTGCGTTAGGGTTCACGGCCCGGGGAGGCGGCGGGAGAGAAGGGCGAGGAGGTGACAGTCAGACCCCAAGTGAAACGTGGCGCCCGGGCCATCCTCGCCCCTAGCTGAGGGGCAGCAAGGCTGGGCAGGGCTGCCACCCCGGGCCGTCCTCGCGAGCCGGGGGACGCTGGACCCGGGTCTCCGCGGAGCCGTACACGCGAACCGCGCCCAGATGCGGCGGTTGCATCCCGGCCCCGTGGCCGGGTGGCCGGCGTAGAAGCATCCCGGGTGCGGGAGCTGCGAGTTGCCCACCCCGCGCCCATCCTTTCCCCGTCCCTCCGCGGGTCCCTGCGACCTCCCGGTCCCGTCCCCTGAGCGCGCTCCCCCGTGGCTCCGCACACCCTCGGCCCCTCCGGTGGCCTCCCTGGACGGCTGCGGGAGAGCAGCCCGGGAGGGACGCGGCTGGAGTCGCTAGAGGGAGGTGTGGGGCCGGCGAGGAGGGGGCTTCGCGGGGCGGGGGGAGAGGCGGGAGGAGGCGCCGGGGAGGAGCCGCCAGCTTCGCCCGAGCCGAGCGCACTCCGTCGCCGCGCGGGTTCCCAGCCTCGCGGGGCCCCGTGGGGAGCGCGGGTCAGCAGCGCCGCCGCCGCCTCCCGCAGGAGCAGCGGGCCGGGGGGGGGTTCGCTCTCAGCCGCCGCCACCCCGGGCGCTGCGCTGCGCTCTCCGTGCAGCCTCGGTGTCCGTGGCAGCCCACAGTGCCGGGTCCCCGGGCTCCACACAGCCCCGCGGTCGCGGCGGGAGGAGGAGGAGGAGGAGAAGGAGGAGGGATCGCGGCGCGGGCTGGTCTGGCCACCTCGCCCCGCGCCCCGCCCCTGCGCGCACTCCCTCGCCGGAGAGCTACTTTCGGACCAGGAAAGTGAGGGCGGCCCCGGGTGACAGCGCGGCGGCGCCAGTCCCGGGAAGCCGCGTCTGTTCGCGTGTCGCCCGTCGCGCTCCCAGCGGCGCACTGTCCGGACCCGGCCATGGCTTCTACCACCACCTGCACCCGGTTCACCGACGAGTATCAGCTCTTCGAGGAGCTGGGAAAGTAAGCTTCCTTGCCTTGGCATCTCCTCGCTGCAACCCCACGTCTTTCCCCCGCCCCCCCCCCCCCCCTCGTGGGGACAGGGAGCCCGCGGGCCGAGGCCGGGTGACGAACCCCTGGCTTGTTGCGGGTGGGGCACAGAGGGGAGGAAACCCCTGCTCTACCGTGGCGGGTGCCCCGAATCCCCAGCCCACCTCCTCGGGTCCTCCACGTCTCCACGGGAGACTTAGTGAATTTACCATCTCTGCAGTTGTAGCTGTCATCCTGAGAAGTGTGCGCGCACGCGAGGTGTGAGTGTGTGTTGGGGGAGGAAAGGAGCTGCATGTAGAATGCAACATTTATCACATTTTTGGGGGGTAAATAGATGTCTCTTGCTCAGCCTGCGGTGTGTCTGCGGTCTGACCCGGGTTGGGATGAGCTGATGAGCACTCGCTCTCAGAGATGGTGCCATATTTATCGATGCTGAAAGTTCAACTTGGCTTGGTGGAGAGTCCGGTTCGGCATCCAAGTAGTTGTTCTGTCCAGGAAAAGGGCCACCCAACAGAACCCACGCCCCTGCCCCATATCCACTGTCCGTCTTTGCTCGATGGTAACATCATTCTTCTGGGATTTACGTGACCCTCGTTTCTGAGAGGATTTATTTATCCCGGCAGAGGAAAAGCCCCCTGTAGCTCTGGAGAGCTCTTCCAAAGGGTCGCCTAGCATTGTGTAAAACGACCTCCTTCACTTAAGCTCCAGAACTTCTTGGAGATGCTAAGGAGGGACAGGGCACCCACTGACGATCTGTACAGGAGCAACCAGAGCCCCAGGCAGGATTTACCAAGCATCAAACCCCAAACCAGTCCCTCTATCGCTAATTTCGACTCTTAGGGGAAGGATGCGTTTGTGTGTGAGCTGTAGGTTCTCATACATAAAAGGAAGTGTAAGCATTTAAAATCAAATGGAAACGGTATCTCCATAGATGATCTGCTGTTGAAACATGGAGACATGTCGGAAGAGAAGCTTAATTCAAATCTCTCCCCTCCCCCAGCCCAAACCAGGCAGAGAGAAATCACCTTACCCCAGGATCTGTTAGAGCACACCAGTGAGCTAGAGATTTATGTTTTAATGAAAACAATCGCCATATTTACTTTCTTGGAGCCACGTTAATTATGTTTCCTATGGAAATAGGCAGGCAGCAGTTTTTGTTTTTTTTTTTTTTTTAAATTCTGTTTCCCAGATCTGGTCTTTGCAGGGTTTGCTATGAGCATTTGGTGTTTTGTGAGTGTGAATTAGGAAATGTTTTCAGATTTCATGTGCAAACAAGAGTGGTCATAATTGGCATTTTCTTCCATTCTGTTGATTAATAATGTGTGTTTCCAGTCAATTAAGAATTACTTTTATTCCTCAACATTAAAAAGGATCTGGGTTGCCAGGGAAGAACTGTTTATTTTCTAGATAATGCTTTTATTATACTGAATGTTTGACAGACTGCTAGGGACACACAGAAATGCTCAAATTTGTAAGTTTCTAAGAGGATGCGAGATCTGATTATACTGATGGCTTGCTAATTATTGGTTTCCAGGGGGGCATTCTCAGTGGTGAGAAGATGTATGAAAATCCCCACTGGACAAGAGTATGCTGCCAAAATCATCAACACCAAAAAGCTTTCTGCTAGGGGTGGGTATTTTAAACTGCATTTATTTATACATGTTAATTTTGTATTTGTTGTGTGGATTGTTGGTGTCTTCTAATTAAATATAGCATGTGGTTATAATTGAATGTCAGACTTAGGAATCATGTTACACACTCACATATTTCCTTGCCAAATGCCTCTTGCTCTGTATACTTTGAAAGTAAATGAAAAACATAATTGTTATCAATGACAGATTAAAATGCCACCTTACGAGCAGTAACATAAATATTTTTGCAAAGCAAATAAATGTCATGAGGTGCATTTTGCTTTGAGTTCTAGTGTGAAATAACTTTCAGAAGGATCCTAGAATGGAAAAAAAATGTAAGTCTCATAACTGTCATAATTCCCTTTCACTTTTGAGACAAAAAAATAGGTCATGGTTCAGTTGAATGTATATTACAGCTGTAGTTACAGCTGAACTTACTACATGAGGTATATTTAACTTCAGTGGCTTTTGGAAGTAAAAAGAGATCATTGCTGTAATCTAGGAAGTTAGCTTGATTTTGATCTGTGCAGGTTAGGCCTTTTCTTGGTTCTCTGAATTAAATTACCCACCAGACCATGCGATATATTTTACACCGCAGAGATAATTCATACTTAAAGCTGTTGACATGAGTTAAAAAACAAAACTTGGAGCAGTGTACCCACATGTTTTTATTTATTTTGTTTAAAATCGTGCAAAGGTACACATACTGAACTGTCAGTGTTACGGTGGCTGCAGGCATGCGCCTAAGGTATTTCCAAGGGAATTTATGGTTTGATGAAATTAAACTGGAATCAAAATGAATAGAACACAATAGTGCAGATCAATCTCAGTGACCTGGTTTATTTTAAGTAGTGAGAGGAAATTCCATTAGACTTAGTTTTCCTCATTGAATATATCTTTTAAGACATGCCACTTAAGGATGTCTGGATATCATTGCCTTTGTCCTCCACTATGGTAAATGGATTTTCAAATTCTACTTTTAAGATATACTTTAGGTTTCAGTTTATTTATTTGCTTCAGTGGAATTCTGTGGTAGTTTTCTTTATCAGATTTGCTATAGTTCTGAGAAAGAGCTATATGTTAAACTGACCATGAGCGCCTTGGTGTCCTGGTATGAAAACTAATGAGCACATGCTATGCTAATTACATTTCCCTTTCAAGCCTCCAATCCATTGGAAGGGTTTTTTTTTTTTTTTTTTTTTGTTTTGTTTTGTTTTGTTTTGTTTTTAGAATGAGGAGGGGGTGCAGAAGTATAAATGCTGGTTTAAGGGAAAGAAGACTGAAAACATTCAGTCAGATTTTCCCCCCAGTGATTGTTATTTCTTCTGGTATGACAGGCACTCCGGCAGTGGTGGGCTATCACATTTGGGGGATATTGCCATGCTTATTCTGAGTCTTTTAATGGCTTTAAGTTTCCTCTTAAATGAGAAAAATGAGTCTTAAGTGAGTCTGGTACTTCACTTTTACTAACTTTCTTAATTAGAATGGTCACTTTTTATCCACTTCGTCTTATACTTCCCATCTCAGATTGGTAGTGCAGGGGTCTTTGCTCCCTTCTTTCCCCTCCATGGGAGATGAGTATCCCTGCCTGATTGGGATACTTTCTTCTCCATGCTGTTCTACCAGTGTTCCTCCTCTATTCATGCTGAGCGTCTGCAAACACCTTCCTGACTCAGGAGACATGCTTGTTGTCTTCCTTTGCGTTTTTTAGTTATTTCTATTGTATTACTTTTAGTGATGTGTGTATGTGTTTGCGTGCGCACACGTGTGTACACATGTGAGTTCGGGTGCTCTTGGAAGCCAGAGACATCTGATCCCCGTAGTTATAAGCCCTCAGGTGTGGGTAGTAGGAACTGAACTCCTGTTGTCTGGAAGAGCAGGAAGATCCCTCATCTGCCGAGCATCTCTCCAGACTCTTTCTTTGGTCTATTTTCCCCCTGAGAACATCATCTGTCCCAGAATGATACACTCTGTGCTGCAGTCCTGATTCCTGTAACTGCTAGCTGTGTGATCTTGAGTCCTTTACCCATTTTAATCCGAGCCTTAGTCTCTTCA